GATTGTGGGACTGCGGGGCTTGGGGAACCTGGAGAGAAGCCCTCCAGCTACAGTGGCAGGCACCTTTACCCATCTCACCATTCTTGAAATCATTGCAGCATTTGGAGTGTCCCTGGATACCAGGTTTATCACAGCAGTCTGAGATCCTGTTCTCTGAGTTAATAAACTATGAGTTAATTCAATATTAAGGCTCCGTCAACACGCCCCTTGGGTTTCCTGTTCTCTATAAGTGCCTGCATTTGGGAACTAGAGTGTCTGGCTTCACTATTTCTTTATCTCTCTTTCTCAATTCTCCTCCCCACCCCAGGTGAACTGTGGCTTGTTGGTAGAGTGGGGTTAAAAGTAGAGATGGGGCAAGGAAGTTCCCACGGGAGTTCGGGCTGACTCGTTTTCCCACACAATGCTTTCGTGACTATCTCCTGCCTGCAGTTCCCCTGGCTGAGCATGGTTAATCCCAGTCTGTTTTCAAAGCCGTAGCCCATGGTTTCTCATCTTCCACCAGTGTTGATTGGTCCTCTGCCCCTTTAGGGTAAACGTGTGTGTGTGTGTGTGTGTGTGTGTGTGTGTCTGTGTCTGTGTCTGTGTCTGTGTGTGTGTGTGAGGTCAGAGGGCATCCTCAGTTGTCATTCTCAGATGGTGTCTACTTTTGTTTCTTGAGACAGGGTGTCACTATGTAGCCCCTGGAAGGTCTGGAAGGACTCACTATGTAGACCAGGCACCTAAAGGTTCCAAAACAGTGTCACTGGCTGGGGCCAGGTGTTCCAGTGTGTAGGCCTGTGGGGACCATTTCACAGCAAAGCACAATAACAAGACGGAAAAGCAGGAAGCAAGAAGCCCTGCTGGGCAGCAATTAAATCAGCATCCCCGGATGATATTTTGGGCTCAGATACTAACACTAGAGATGGATAGAACTGACCACCTTGGACTTCATTAGGAGGTGTGTTATAGATAGTATGGGAGGAGGGGGAGAGAGCGAGGTCTCTCTGGGGCAGGGGGGGGGGGGGGGGGGGGAGGTCTGCAATGATTTGGCAGGGAAGGGTGCTGCCTGTGGGGCCTGGCATGACTAAAGATGACCAAGTATTAGAGGTGCGGCATAGATGTGGTCAAAGATTTGGCCTGGGCAGGTTGGGTTGGAGAGATGGCTCAATTGATAAAATACTTGCCACCCAAGTCTAGAGACCTGAGTTCAATTTCTAGCACTCATTGAAACAGCCAGATTATACATGTATATAAACTGAGGCAGTTTTCTGTCCCAACCGCCCAGTCCCAAACAAACACACAAAAGCTTATATTAATTGCAAAATGCTTGTCCAGTAGCTCAGGCTTATTGCTAACTAGCTCTTACATTTAAATTAACCCATTTCTATTTAGTCTATGTATTGCCACATGGCTGTGGTTTACCGGTCCTCTGGCATTTTGCTTCTTGGATGGCTCTCTCAAGTCTCTCTTAACTCCAGTCTACTTCGTCTTCATCCTCAGTTTGACTGACCCACCTAACTTCCTGCCTGGCTACTGGCCAATCAGTGTTTTATTAAACCAATACAAGTGGCAAATCTTTACAGTGTACAAGAGGGTTATTCCACATCACATGCGCACACACACACACACACACACACACACACACACACACACTTAAAATCTAAGGAGAAAAAAAAGTCAAGTGCCTATAATCCCAATGCAAGGGAGGCAGAGACAGGAGGATTGCTGAGGCTAGCTGGGCAGCTAGTCTATCTGAATTGATGAACTCCAGGTTCAGTGAGAGATGCTGTCTCAGAAAATAAGATATAAAAACAACTGAAGGAGACACCTGCCATCAACTCCTGACCTACACACACACACACACACACACATAAACATATAAACACAAACACACAGAATAGTTTTGGACTGTCGAGTGTGATGGCTCACACCTGTAATCCCCACGCTTGGGAGGCAGAGGCAGGAGGATGTAGAGTTTGAAGCCAGTTTTGGCTTTGTAGCAAAACCCTGGCTCCAAACAAAAATGTTGGCCATGGTGTACTTGAGCTATCCAGCAGGCATGTAAGTCGAGTCTGGAGTCTAGAGGTCAAGGCTCGATAGCATGTGGGAGGTGGGGAATGTAAGGGACCCCACTTACATTCAAGGACACAGATGGACCCCTGAGGTCCTGTGTCTTACACCGGGGATTCTGAATCTCAACTCAATGTGATTTTTTTAAAGACAAGGTTTCATGCAGCCCAGGTTGGCCTTGAACTTGCCTTGTACTGGGGAATTACCGTGAACTTCTGGCTCTCCTGATTCCACCTCCTATGTGCACCCTCACACCCTACTTTGGGACAGTGATACTGCCGCATTACGGAGGTAGAGACTGGGGCATAGAGAATCTAATTATGCCCCTAAGATAATACAACCCCAAGCGAGTGGCAGAGCCCAGATTCAGACCCGAGAGCCTGACATCGGAGCTTGGAAAGATGCCACCCTCTTGGGAAGCCTTGCCTGGAAGAACAGGCAAGGGCCTAAGGAGATGGCCCCGCTGGTAAAAGTGCTTGCCTCGCAAGTGTCAGGACATGAGTGTGGATAACTGAGAACCCAAGTAAAGTGGCCAGGCCTGAAACCCCGGGGATGGTGACATGGGAGGTGGAGACAGGCGGTTCCCTGGAGGCTCATTGGCCAGGTAGCCTGGCCTACTGTGTGACTGTCCAGGTCAGTGAGAAAGCCTTCTCAAAGGGGGAAGGAGCCTGAAGAGAGGCACCCCAGGTTGTTCTCTGTCCTCCACAGGTGTGAGAAGTACACGCATATACAGAGGATGGCCGGTACAAGAGCGTGGCTGTGCTCAGGAAAGACCCATTGCAGGAGTGATCCCCGGTCTGGGACCTGGGACACTGAAGTCTTTGATGAAGAAGATACTGGCTTTTAAAACAGCTTTTTAGATTTCTTGGATTTGTATGAGTGTTTTGCCTTCATGTATGTATGTGTACCATACACGTGCCTGGTGCCCATGGATGTTGGAAGGCATTGGCTCCCCTGGAACTGCAGTCAGGGATAGTTGTGAGCCACTGTGTGGATTCTGGGAACTGGCCATGGGTCATTTGTAAGAGCAACACATGCTCTTAACTGCTGAGCCACCTCTCCAGCCCCAAATACTGGCTTTTCTTTTCTGTCTTTTTGAGACAGGGTTTCTCTGTGTAGCCCTGGCTGTCCTGGAACTCATGATGTAGACCAGGCTGGCCTCGAACTCAGAGATCTGCCTGCCTCTGCCTCCTGATTGCTGGGATCAAAGGCGTGCACCACCACCGCCTGGCCTAATATTGGCTCTTCTTAGAGCCTTGTATCAGTGACTTAAGTGGAGCTGTCTTGAGCAAGGTTACCACCCTGGACTCAATTTCTCTTCCACCTTTCCCTGTTGATCTTCTTGACGAACCTTCTGGAAGGTAGCTGCCAGATACAGTGTGTCAAGACTCAGTGTCCCTAAAGCAGCCCTCCCCACCCGAGCCAGAGCCAGCTCTGTACACATCAGCCGTTCCCACTTGATGTCAGATCTTTACCACAGCCCACAGTGCTGTAGCCTCATGTTCCTCTCCAGCTGTACGCACATCAGACTGCCCCTCCCATGTCCCCAGCTCCCTCCTGCTTCCGTGAGAAGAGTGTTCTCTTCTCCTTCACCCTTCCTCCTCCATCTTGTCCAGCCTCCTGTCTCAGTTTAGCAGCCACTCTGTACATAACCTCTGACCAGGTCCCCAGCTGGGGAAGGAGTATTCAAAGTGTGAGCCTGTGGCAGACATTTCTTTTCAAATCATAATGAAAACATTTAAAAGACTTATTTTATCTTAAACTGTGTGTATGCATGTGTCTGTGTGTGGGTATGTATATGAGCACGTAAGTGCAGGTACCGGTGAAGGCCATCAGAGGGCGTCAGATTCCCCAAACTAGAGTCACAGGCAGTTGTGAGGCACCTGATGTGGGAACTGGGATATGAACTAAGATCTTCTGCAAGAGCACTACACACTCGACCACAGAGCCATCTCTTCAACCTCTAATTAAGACAAATTATTAGGGGCTGGAGAGAGAGATGGCTTAGTGGCTGAGAACGTGAGTTACTCTTGCAGAGGTTCCCAACACCAACATGCTGGCTCACAACTGTCCATAATGCCAGTTCCAGGGGATCCAACACCCTCTTCAGGTCTCCATGAGCACAGGCGCGCACATGGTACACATACAAACAGGAGGCAAAAGACTCAGAAAATAAATCTAAAAGATGCATTTGTGTATGTGAGTGTGGGTGTGGTATGGCATGCACATGGAGATCACAGGATAACTTCTGGGAGTCTGTCCTCTCCTTCTACCATGGGTTCCAGGGACAAACTTGGGTCATCAGGCATAGACAGCAAATGCTTGCACTTGCTAAACAATCCTGCCCACCCCATAGCAGTCTTTTATAGCACACTTCCTGCTTAGGTTGTGTGTGGCTGTATTTGCATTCCCTCTGGACCGAACCCTCAATAAGGTTGCTCTGTTTACCTTGGTTATTTCTAAGGCTTGGCTTAATAGGTGCTAATTAATTGTTAATAAGAAAAATGAGAGCTGTTGATGAAGCTCAGGGGCAGGGCATTTGTCTAGCATTCAGGGACCCTAGGCTCGATTCCCAGTGCATGCATACAGAGAGAGAGAGAGGAAGAGAGAGAGAGAGAACAAATGAAATAGGAACTGTTTATAGCCTACTTGGTATTATGTGGTTCCATATGCTGTAATACACATTTACGCATTCATATATGCTACAGTATATTTGCATATTCATAAGTTTGCACACACTTGGCAAGCACTTGGTCAATTGAGCTACAGCCCCAGCCCCTCCCTTCCAACTTTTGAAGTGTTTAATTTGGTTTCTCATTTTTTGGCCGTTGTCTTAGATAGAAAGCTGTGCTAAACTTGTGCGCTGTTGATTCTTCCCAGCAGCATGGCTGGGCTGCTCTTCTGTGAGCCAACAGAACTCTATAACATCTTGAATCAGGTCTCAAAGCTGTCCAGATTAGCGGAGCCCAACTACCTCTGCTTACTGGGTGAGTAGAAAACAACAACATACCCACCCAAACACACATGCCAACACCAACATCCAGACACGCAACACATACACCAACACACACATGCATCAGCACACGGTTAACCGGTGGGTATGCTGAGAACAGTGGCCTGCACACCCTCCTTCTGAAGGTTGCCAAAGGTTTGGAAAGGGCAATGAATGGCGTCAGAAAGTTGTTTTGTTGTTTGGTTCAAAACGCTGCCTGTGATTAGGCTCAGTAGATAAAGGGCTTGCCATGGAATCGTGAACACCAGAGTTTGGTCCCCAGCACTGTATAAAAGTCAGGTGAGGCCAGGAGGTGGTGGCGCACGACTTTAATCCCAGCACTCGGGAGGCAGAGGCAGGTGGATCTCTGTGAGTTCGAGGCCAGCCTGGGCTAGAGTGAGTTCCAGGAAAGGCACAAAGCTACACAGAGAAACCCTGTCTCGGAAAAAAAAAATAAAAAATAAAAATAAAAATAAAAAAATAAAAAAAGTCAGGTGAGGGGCTGGAGAGATGGCTCAGTGGTTAAGAGCACTGGCTGCTCTTCCAGAGGACCTGGGTTCAATTCCCAGCATCCACATGGCAGCTCACAACTGTCTGTAATTCCAATTCCAGGGAACCCAATACTCTCATACAGATATACTTGGAGGCAAAACACCAGTGCACATAAGTCAACATTTAGAGAAAAGTCAGGTGGTTTGGTAGTCTGCCTGTAACCCCAGAACTCAGGAGGGCGGGATGGACATGCTGGGCAAGATGGCTGACTTGATGGGTGAAAATGTGAGCTCTGGGTTCAGTGAGAGAGAGACTTGGCCTGAAGAGGAATTGAGGAAGACACACAGGCATGCGCACACACATGGGCCCGTGCCCTCATACACTCTTGTGCACATGCTTATGTATATACATCATACACATACAAACGAAGGGAAACAATGATGTTATTGAATGTCATACTGTTAGAAAGATAATTCAAGATTCAAACAAGGTCAGTGGTCCAGCACCAAGAAAGCACAACCAAGACTTGTCAGCTCCCTCACAGGTTATCCTCTGACCCCCACTTGGGTGTGGCATGTGGGCATCCTCCAGCACATATATAAATGCAGAAACTATTTATTTGAAGACCAGAGTCTTGCTATGTAGCCCTGGCTGGCTTCAAACTCACAGTCCTCCTGTCTCCATCCCCCCACCTTGCATACACTCTAGGTGTTGAGATCACAGCTGTGTTTTGAGTGGACAATTACCCACCTACCCACCAGTGTTGTGTTCCTTTACAGTTCCTGTTCTGAGTTCAACTCTTTTCTTTCCCAGATGTTCGAACCAAAAGGCAATATGACGAGAGCCATGTGATCACTGCCCTTAGAGTGAAGAAGGTATCAGGCTGAGTCAGAAGCAGACAGCCTGGGGACCTCATGAGGGTGGGGAGGACAGGGAGGTTTTGTCGTGGGTCCAGAGGGTGGCATCAACTGTGAGGGACAGGTTGGCGGGGATGGTGCATGTCCCATGGATCCCTCCCACATCCCTAGAGTTCTTCCTGGTAGACACTCGCTGTTCCTGCCATTAGTAAGCATGTTGTAAGTCATGCTGGCTGTAATCTGGGAACAAGGGTCTATACAGCCTGTGGACACTGCCCTCTCTGTCCTGAGGACTTGGCTGTGAGCTTGGTGGTGGGTCCTACTTTGTCTAGCCTCTGGCATCTAGTAGGTCGTGAGTACAGATTGTTGGCACATCTGTACCAGTGACCAGAGAGGGGCCTTCGCTCTACCCAGAACACTTCCCAATCTTTGTTTACCATTTTTGTTTGTGTGTGAGTGTTATGTGATTGTGAGTGTTATTATGTAATCGTGTATATGTATTATGTGATCGTGTATGTATTGTGATCATATGATTGTGTGTGTCTGTTTGTGTGCCTGTGTGTATATGTATGTGTGTGGTGTATGTGTAATGTGTCTGTAAGTGTGTATTATGTGATTGTATGAATGCATTATATAATCGTGTATGTATGTTACATTATCTTGTGTGTATTATGTGATCATGTGATTGTGTGTATATGTGTGTGTGTAATTTGTGTGTGTATTTTGGTTGTGTGAGTATATTATGTAATCATGTATGTGTGTTGCATGACTGTGTGTATATTATGTGATGATGTGATGTGTGTATATAATATATGTGTGTATTATGATTGTGTGAGTGTATTATATAATCATGTATGTGTATTGCATGGCTGTGTGCATATAATGTGATCATGTGATGTGTGTGTGATTGTGTGTATGTGTGTAATGTATGTGTATTATGATTGTGTGAGTGTCTTATGTAATCATATATGTGTATTGCATGACTGTGTGATATTATGTGATCATGTGATTGTGTGTGTGTGTGTGTGTGTGTGTGTGTGTGTGTGTAAGCCAAAGAATGGTACTTATCTTTTTCTATCAGTTTCCACCTTATGTTTCTTAAAATTTTTGTTACATTACTATTTTTTAAAAAGTGTGTGTGTGGAAGCCGGGCAGTGATGGCGCACACTTTTAATCCCAGCACTTGGGAGGCAGAGCCAGGCGGATCTCTGTGAATTCGAAGCCAGCCTGGTCTACAGAGTGAGATCCAGGACAGGCTCCAAAGCTACACAGAGAAACCCTGTCTCCAAAAGCAAAAAACAAAAACAAAAGTGAGTGTGTGTATGTGTGTGTGTGTCTGTGTGTGTTTGGTGTGTGCATGAGTGCAGATGCCTACAGAGTCCAGAAGAGGACATTGGATCCCCTAGAGCTTGAGTTACAGGCAGATGTGAGCCACTCGAGGTAGGAGCTGGGAACTGAACTCAAGTTTTCTTCAAATGTAGCAAGTGCTCTAACTGCTGAGTAACCTCCTCAGCCCTTTTATAACACTTATCTGGTGTGTGTGTGTGTGTGTGTGTGTGTGTGTTTGTGTGTGTGTCTCCCCCCCCCCCCCCCCCCGTCTCTCTCTGTGGGGGGTAGGTATGTACCTGGGCATAGCCAGGCCATGTCACATATGTGGGGATCAGAAGATAACCTCTACATGGCGTCCCAGGGATTGAACTCAGGTCCTCAGGCTTGTTAGCAAGCACCTTTACCTGCTGAGGAAGCTCAATGGCCCTTATTCTTAGCCAGAGTCTTGGTATGTGGCCTAGACTGTCCTAGATCTCAAGACCTCCTGCCTCAGCTTCCTGGTTCTAGGATGTGATGTGTGGACCCCCACCAGGCAACAGGCATCTCCCTGAATGTTCTCTTGAGCTTCTAGACCAGTGAGCTTTCTCCCCTTTGAGTTCCAGAGATCCTTATTAGTCTGGACTTCTTTCTTTTTTAGGATTTATTTATGATGTACACAGTGTTCTGCCCGCATGTATGCCTGTAGGCCAGAAGAGGGCACCAGATCTCATTACAGATGGTCATGAGCCACCATGTGGTTGCTGGGAATTGAACTCAGGTCCTCTGGAAGAACAGCCAGTGCTCTTAACCTCTGAGCCATCTCTCCAGCCCCTCGTCTGGGCTTCTGTGGCCCTTAACACTATACTGTAAAGCAGAATGCGTGGGCACTTGTCTCCTGCATGCCTCTGTTGGGACTCTTGCATCACATAGGCCAGGCTGCACAAACAGCATCAGGCTCAGAGGGGACCCTGAGAGCGAGTAAAGGCCACACTCAGCTGTCAGCCACTCAGGAATCCTTGAGCTCTAGAACGTCTATTAGGTTCCTGGACGAGTCTAGTACTGTGAGACTACATCCGCTCCCCAGGGGAGCTCTCTCCTCCCCAGGTGACATCACCCCCTCCCAGGTGAGCTCATCTTCTTCTCAGGTGAGCTCATCTTCTCCTCAGGTGAGCTCATCTTCTCCTCAGGTGAGCTCATCTTCTCCTCAGGTGAGCCCCTCTTCTCCTCAGGTGAGCTCATCTTCTCCTCAGGTGAGCTCATCCCTTCCCCAGGTGAGCTCATCACCTCAAGGACTCTTTTTTTGGTTATCTCATTCTTCAGCTGTGACAGAACACTTGACAAGAGACTTACAGGAAGGAGGGGAGGGAGGGGATATTTGAGCTCACAGTTGGAGGGTTTGGTCCTGTCTTAGTGAGGAAGGCAAGATGGCAAGCAGGGAAGCCAACAGGTCACATTTCGTCCGTAATCAGGAAGCAGAGGATAGGCCAGAAATTAGGCTGGTTATAAAACCTCAAGGCTCAGGCCTGTGGTGTGGGGGCACACACCTTTAATCCCAGCGCTTGGGAGGCAGAGGCAGGCGGATCTCTGTGAGTTCGAGGCCAGCCTGGTCTACAGCGTGAGTTCCAGGACAGCCAGGGCTACCCAGAGAGACCCTGTCTCGAACCGACCCCACCCCCATGAAAACAATTAAAAACGAGAGGGAGAAAGCGAGCTGAGCACCGGCGTTCTCTCTGCTTCCTGACTGTGGACACAATGTGACCTGGCCTCCCACTCCGGCAGACACACCTTGTCCACACAACTGACTGTACCCTCAAACTCCGGGTGAAGATGACCCTCCTCCCGTAAGCTGCCCCTGTTAGGCAGTCCTCACAGCAGTGGGGACAGTCAGTCATACAGTTAGAGACTAAACACAAGACCCAAGGCCCTGCCATCCCATAACCTGCACTCGACCTCATGGTTCTCCTGGTGGCATTCGCTCACTCAGGACTTCTGCTTCAGGAGTGATTTGGGGTTTAGGTGTACTGCCACCATCCCCCGGTCACCCAGCCACAGTGACTCGCGGGGCTGTAAGTTCGGTAATGGACCGCCATTCTCTGGCCAGGCCGTCTCTGGTCTGGTCCCCACTGCCGTCCTTCCTAGTGACAGGGAGGGAGCAGAGATCCAAGAGACTCTCCGGTCTGTTAGTGGTCAGCAAGGGAAGGAGGACAGGACCCCAGCCTGCCTCAAGCGCCCCTGGGAGGTGGTGCAGGGACAGTGTGCCCAGCTGAGCATCTGAGCAGCGCGTCTGTGTGGCTTCCTAGAGAGAGAACCAGTACCTCATCCCGGAGTCCGTGGATCTGGAGTGCGTGAGATACTGCATCGTGTACGACAGCAACACCAGCTCCCTGGAGCTGCGCATACGGCGGCGGCGGCAGCTTAAGGAAGAGGAGGAGGAGGAGGAAGAGGAGGAAGAAGAGGAGGAGGAGGAGGAGGAAGAGAACACTGGTAATCACACCCCAAGAGAGTTGTTCTTAGTCCTTTTTGTCTTTTTTGGTGTTATTTGAGAAAGGGTCTCTCTTATTATGTAGCCCAGGCTGTCCTGGAACTTGTAGATGAGGCTAGCCTCGAACTCATGGAGATCTGCCCACCTCTGCCTCCTCAGTGCTAGGCTGGCAGACTTGTGCAGTCATGCCTGGCTCATGCAGTGCTAGGAATGGACCCCAGAGCCTCCAGCATGCTAAGCAAGTACTTTACCAAGGGACCCACATCCCCAGCCTTCCCAGGTGGGTTTTTACAAGCACAAGAAGGGTGGACAGTGCCGATAGTCCTCATTTGTGTGGGGCTGTGACCACATTACCCGAGGGAAACAAAGGAGGAAGGAAGGATTTCTACTTGACTTTCTTGCGTGTATGTCTGTGTGCGTGCGTGAAGGCCTGTGGAGACCAGAGGTCAGCCCCAAGGTCAGCCGCCTTGTGTTTTAGACCGTCTCTGCCAGCCTGGAGATTGCCAAGAAGGCTGAGCTGGCTGGCCAGCGAGTCCTGGCGACCCACCTCTCCCTGCCTTCCTGGTGCTAGAGTTGCAAAAGTGTGCCACTCTGTCCGGCCTTTTCACACGACTCTGGGGTGGAACTCGGGTCCTCAGATGGCCAGGCTAGCATTTTACCAACTACGCCATCACTGCACACATGTCCACCTCCACTCATGCAAAGACATGCGCGCACATGTGCATAACACACACACACACACACACACACACACACACACACACACACACGCATGCAGGAAAGATAGACGAGGAAGAGGAGGAAGGAAGAGAAGGTGAAATCTCCCACATGCCTAGCAAGTGAGCTCTCTGTCACTGCATGACAAATGACCCCGAAGTCAGCGGCCCGACATGACAATATGCTAATAATCATATCTTTGGGCCCAGAATTCAGGGGCCACTCAGACAGGAGAGCCAATGTTTCCCCGGAGGTTATAATCCAAGTGTCAGCTGGGACCAGGTGTGGTAGCACATGTATAATATCCCAGCACTGGGGAGCCTGAAGCAGGAGGATTGCTCTGAGTTCCAGGGCAGTCTGAGCTACAGAGTGAGACCATGATTCAAATGAAAACAAAAACAAACAAAAAACTGTCCTGGAATTGTAGCTTAGGTAGCGGAGTGCTCACCTAGCATGCTTAAAGCCGTAGGTCCACCCCAATACCAGGTACTGGGTGTGGCGGTGCACACTTGGGTGTGGAGGCAGGAGGAACAGAAGCTACAGAGCAAGTTCAAGGTCAGGCTTGGGTACATAAAACCCTGTTTCAAAATAAATAGACAGTCAAGCATAATGGTGGACACCTTTAACCCTAACACTCAGGAGGCAGAGGCAGGTGATTTCTGTAAGTTTGAGGCCAGCCTGGTCTACATAGTGAGTTCTAGGCTAGCCAAGGCTTCACAGTGAAACTTTATCACAGCAAAAATAATAATAATAATAATAATAATAATAATAATAATAATAAAACTGGGCCGGGTCTGTAGCTCAGTGGTAGAACACTTGCCTCCCGTGTATAATATCCTATAAAAGCCTAAGGTCCATTCCTCACTACTATGCAAAAAGAGGGGGGTGATGGTCGGATGGCTCAGCGGGCAGATGCTCTTGTCACCAAGCTTGACAAGCTCAGTTTGATCCCCAGCACCCACGTGGTGGAAGGAGAGAATTTACAAGTTGTCCTCTGACCTCCACGTGTGTTTGTGATACACGTGCATGTACAGACAGAGACGAATAAATAAAGTAATACAAAGTTAAAAGACTCCCCCAAAGCATGTGTCATCAGTTCCAAGATACTTAATTCAAAATTTGAAGAAGGCTTATTATCCGTTCAGTGTTGGTTGTTTTTGTTCCAAATAAATCACACACAGAGGCTTATACTTAATTATAAATTCCCGGCCTTAGCTTGGCTTCTTTCTATTTCTACTTTAAATTATCACATCTACCTTTTGCCTCTGGGCTTTTCATGCTCTCTTACTTCTGTAAATCTTACTCTTACTCCAGCTGGGTGGCTGACCCTGGAGTCCTCCTCCTTCCTCTGCTACTTCCTTTTCTCTCCTCCCAGATTTCTCCTATTTCTTCTCTCTGCCTGCCAGCCCCGCCTATCCTTTCTCCTGCCTCACTATTGCCCATTCAGTTCTTTATTAGACCACCAGGTGTTTTAGACAGGCACAGTATCACAGCCTCACAGAGTTAAACAAATGCAGCATGAACAAAAGTAACACACCTTAAATAATATTCCCCAACAGTTCGGCCCAGTGCTGACGGGATGAGAATGGCCATTTACACTCCCTGCCACTGGGTGGCACTAAGGCTCTGCCTTTACAAACACCTGCCGTTGAGACTCTTCCCAAGTGGTCTTTGGCTTGGAAATTTCTTCCATGTGTGGGTTCCTTTGGGCTACAGTTTGCAGATATTTGCTAGTTTTGAATCAGAGTCTAGTGTAGCCCAGGCTAGCCTCCAACTCATGATATAGCTGAGGATGATCTTGAACTTCTGAACCTCCTCTCTCCACCTTCTGAGTGCCGAGATTACAGGCTTATGCCACCATGTCCTATGCAGTGTTGGGGGTGGACCCAGGGCCTTGGGCATGCTAGCTAGGCAAGCTCTCTACCAACCAACTGGGCTCCGCCCCTAAGCCTGTGGTTGTTTGTCTGTACATTTTGGGCTGGAGAGATGGCTCAGCAGTTTAAGAGCATGTTCTGCTCTCTCAGAGGACCTGAGTAGGGTCCCAGCATTTATGTAGAGTGACTCACAACTCGCTGTAACTACAGCTTCGGGGCATCTGACCCTCTGGTGCGTGAGGGCACCTGATTCATGTGCACATCCCCCGCCCGCCCGCCCGCCCGCCCCAGACACATATAATTAAAACTTTTGGGAAATGATGTTTCATGTATGTATATATGCATGGTGTGTGTGTGTGTGAGAGAGAGAGAGACACATGCATGCCATGGCACATGTGGATTCTGCCACGTGAGTCCTAGGGATCGAACTCAGGTGATGAGGCGTGGCAGCAGGCGCCTCTACTCCCTGAGCCATCTCTCCGGCCCCACCTTTTTTGAGACAGGGTCTCATGTAGTCCAGGCTGTCCTCGACATCACGGTAGCTTGAACTTCTGACCCCCCTGCCTCCACCTCCCCAGTGCTATAATTGCTGGTGTGTATGGCATGCTCAGCTTGTTCATAGTTTTAGGACTCCAGGCTGGACCCTGGAGCCTTAAGAACTGGGGCTGGAGAGGTGGCTCAACAATAAAGGTGCTTGCTGCCAAGCCTGACAACCTGAGTTCGATCCCGAGGACCCACATGGATGGAGAGAACCATCTTCCACAAGTTGTCCTCTGCCCTCCATACAGATGCTGTGGCAGATGTGTGCCCCCCAACAAGTCAGTGAGTAAATAAGTAAACAAATAAAGTGATGTTTTAAAAACAAACCTTTACTCTGTAAGGGTTTTGTTGTGTTCTTGAACTTCCCACTCAGAAGGAGACCAAATGTAACATTTCCACTCTAGGCAACCTGTCCTCATTTAAAACATTGATGTCTTTTGAGTTGGGCCTGGTGGCACACACTTTTAATCCCAGCACTCAGGAAGCAGAATTAGGCAGCTCTCTGTGACTTCAAGGCCAGCCTGATCTACACAGGGAGTACGTAGGCCAGCCAAGGCTATGTAGTGAGGCTCTGTCTCCAAAAGAAAGAAAAAGAGAAGCAAAACAAAAAGCTGCCTTTTGAAGCCAGGTGTGTTAAAATGATACCTTTCAGCCAGGTGTGCTCCTTCCCACCACCGCTGGTACAGCTGAGGCCAAGGGATCCAGTGTGCCATCCTCCTGCCTCCGTCTCCCTGAGTACTGGGATTGCAAGTGTATACCATCATGCCCAACTACTATTCTTGACGAAACAGTCAGCTGAAGCTGCTCGGTGAGGTGGCCAGGTTCTGTGGGGGTCCCCAGTTGTGGCTAATGCTGGCCCTGTAGTTGTGGCCTGCACGTCTCTAGTGGTGGAGAGGCAGAAATCTAGGCTAAAGGTAACAGGCTCAGTGTGGCCTGGGACTTCTGTCCCTACTCCCCTGTGGCCTCTGACCCACTAGTCTCTTGCTCAAGAGAGACATGGCTGGTGCCCTGTGACCTACTGTCTGGACTCAGGGACCTCTGAACCAGACCCCACGGGGATGGGAGTGACTTCCGCCTGGAAACCTGCAAATTCTCTCCCACCGTGGTTTACAGGCACGCACAGGTTCATCCTCCAGACAGGTCCTTGTTACTTATGTCCTGAGCAGTTTCTTCTGGAAGTGTTCTTGTTTTCAAGAACAGAAGTTCAGCGTAGTTAATCAAATTGATTTATTTCTCTTTCCCTAGTTGATTTCACTCTGTAACCATGGAGGCCAGAGGATAGCCTTAGGTGTTGATGCCTAGGTGCTGGTCTCCTTCTAAAAAGTTTTGTAAATTGTGCTGTCTTTTTTTTTGGGGGGGGGGTAGGGATGTCACAGAGCTTGTGGGGGGGTCAGCGGGAGTCAGTTCCCTCCTTCCACCATACAGGTCCTGGGGTGGAACTCTGGTCACCTGAGTAGGTGACAGGCACCTTTACACCCTCAGTCATCTTCCTGGCCCCACTTATTTTCTGAGACGCTCGCTCTCATTATGTATAATTCACTGGCTCAGCTGGGCCAGCCGTCTGTGGAGCCCCAGGGATCTGTCCATCTTCCCTGATAGCTTATAAGCACACAGCACCAAGCCTGGCATTTTTATGTGGGTTCTGGGAGAGAACTCGGGTCCTCAGCTTCCACGACACTCTCCTGACCGAGCCGTCTCCCCAGCTCCCGAAAGTCGGTTTGGAGAGCAGAGCCCATGGTCTCCCTCCTACTGCTGGTGGGCTCTAAAGGGTCCAGGGTGTCTTGGCCGAGGCAGGCTAGTGCAGACTTTCTGTGGAGCCCCATGAGGTCTGTGTTAGTGACTTTCATGCTGCTGTGACAGAACGGCTTAAGAGAGCCAAGATTGAGTCTGGCTCATGGCTTCCCAGGACTCAGTCACAGTCACTGGAACCGTGGGCCTGACATGACAGCATGCTGTCGGAGTGGAGGAGGCTGTCCGGTTCACGGCTAACCAGAAAGCGGAGAGCGGGGAAGACCATGTGTGCTCTGCCGGGTAGCCCACCCCCATCTTTATGTGTGTGTGTAACTGGGGGGGGGGCACATGCCGTGATGGGCGTGTGGAAGTCAGAGGACAGTGGGCAGGCGTTGGTTCTCTCCTACCCTGTGGTGTCCAGAGATGGAATCCAGGGTCTCCGGCTTGGCAGCAAACACCTGGACCCACTGAGCCATCTCACTGGCCTTCCATTTCCTCTTTTCATTCTGGCCCAGCCCCCAGCCTGTGGAATGGTACCACCACATTCGGGATAGGCCCTCCATCCTCAGTTAATTCTCCCAGAAACACCCTCACATTTGCATCCACAGATACGTCTCCACGGTGTTCTAGGTGACTTAAGTCCAGACAAGTGGATAATGAATATTAACTATTATATAGCATAATTACAATTCATGAAAGAAATTTATATTAAAATTTATATTAAACCATAAAAAGGGCCAGTGAGATGATTTCTGGGACCCACATGGCAGAAGAGAATAGATTCCTGCCATGTGACTGGTTCCACATATGACACATTCTCTCTCTCTCTCTCTCTCTCTCTCTCTCTCTCTCTCTCTCTCTCTCTCACACACACACACACACACACACACACACACACACACGGCAGCCAGGCACAATGATACATGCCTCTAATCCCCACACTCAGGAGGCTGAGTCAAGAGGATAATGAGTTCCAGGTCAGACTGAGCTACATACATTTCACCTCAGAAACAAGACCAAACTACAAGGAGATATCACTTCACACCCACTGGGGTGGGCATAATAAAAAAGACGGATACTAACAAGTGTTGGCGAGAATGTGGAGACACTGGAACCTTTGTACACCACTGAACACGGAGTAAAAAGGCGTGGGCATCGCAGCTCATGACTAGTCCCAGCACTGCAGAGACTGAGGCTGGAGGAGTGCCACAATTTCGAAGGCAAATCTGGGCTATATAGTGAGTTCTAGGGGTGACTGCCTCAGAGTGAGACCCTGACTCAAAAACAAAAAACAAAGTCAGAGCCAGTGAAAGTGGTAGAAAGCGCCTGTGAACAGACCCACAAGCTGAATTCCGTTCCTGGATCAAAAATGGGGCAGGAGAGAACCAAGTCCCAAGGCTTGGCCTCTCCTCTCCATGTGTACACTGTGGCACGTGTATGCCTGTAAATACATACACATACCATTAAAAAGAAAATAAATCTTATAAAAATGAAAAACTAGTCCAAAGCCTGACATTTGTGGCACACACCTTTGGTCCCATCTGCAGTGGCAGATGGATGTCTGAGTTCGAGGCCAGCCTGGTCTACAGAGAGAGTTCCAGGACAGCCAGGGCTACACAGAGAAACCCAACAACTGTCTCGAAAAACAACAACTAATGTAAGAACAGAACATAAGATGGCCTAGTGTAAAGAAAACAATGGTGGTTCCTCAAAGGGCTAGGGTCCATACTCCAGGGAAATGAAGACACATCGCACAAAAACCGTGTACCTTGTTCATGATAGCCCATGGTGGAAACAGCACAGATATCTTAATAAGCCAGTGAATGGATGAAGCAGCATGCAGTACATCCACGGAATGGAATATTATTCTGCTTGAACGAGCTATCATCGTTAAAGTGCACATACTGCTCTTACAGAGGACCTGAGTGTGGTTCCCAGAACCCATGTCAGACGGCTCACAGCCACCTGTAACTACAGATCTTGGGGATCAGGTGCCCTGTACTGGCCTCCATGGGCACCTGCACTCATGTCCACAAACTCACAAACACACACATATGCACATAATTAAAAGTAATAAAAGTTTGGGGCTGGAGAGATGGCTCAGTGGTTAAGAGCTCTAGTTGCTCTTCCAGAGGACCTGGGTTTGGTTCCCAGCACCCAAAGGGTTGCGCATACTGTCAATAACGCCAGTTCCAGGGGATCCCTTGTCCTCTTCTGGCTTCTGCAGGTACTGCACACTTGTGGTACACAGACATACATGCAGGTGAAACACCCATACATGTTTTTAAAAATCTTAAAAACAAGTTTTCTCTTGTAACAATTTCTCTCTATACCTGACTCGGATTTTGTTTCGTAATTTTGTTTTATGTGCCCCTTGACTTGGGTTTCTGAGTAATTGCTTTTTAGATGGAAGCGGCCATCCATTCTAACACTAGGCAAATGCTAAACACACCTTGTGCCTCTTTGGTCCTCTCCCCTAGAACTCTTACCTGGACCCGCCGTGGAATTTGGGCAGATCCTCACCCACCTTACCCGCCACCCTGTCTATGTCCTCAGAGGCGGCTACGAGTGCTTCTCTGGCCTGTACCATTTCTTCCGGACCCAGAAGATCATCTGGATGCCCCAGGTGAGGCGAGGGGAGGAGCAGCCCCTTCTAGGAAGTGAGGTTGGAGACTGACAGGTAAGTGGAGGCAGAGAAAGAGAAGATAGGGATAGAGGACATGGGGGAGATGGGAATGGGGAGAAGAGCCCCGAACCACTGGGGTTTCAGTCCATAAGGACAAATGCAGAGTTAACACATTGTGGGGAAGCCAAACTCGGGGATCTAGAGGGGGTGTGGTTTCGGGGGGCAGTATGCTAACTCAGAGAGTGCTAGAGCTGACTCTGAAATGTCCCCCATAGGCAGATGCCTTGAACTCTTGTTCCCCAGCCAGAGTCCCTCCTCAGATGGCCACAGAGCCTTCAGGAGGTGGAGCCTGGCTGGTAGAAGTAGGCCCTAGGGGTTGGCAACTTTCCTCACTGCCATGGGAAGGACCCCACCACCGTGTCTTCCCCACTACAACGGATTAAAGTCTCTGAAACTGACACCCATAATAAACCTTTTCTTTTCCAGTATCTTGTACCAAGAATGTTGCTAGACTTCTTTTTTCTGAATACAATGATTTGTTTTGTGCTGTGTGTATGTGTGCGTGCGTGCATGCGTGCGTGCATGTATTCGTGTGCGCACACTCTCTCAAGTGCCATGATACAAATATGGAAATCAGATTCTCTTCAAATATGTGGGGGGGATTGGATTCACGTTTCTTGGCAGCCAGCACCCACCTCAACTGGACAAGTTTTGGGCCACAGATGGTCAGTTCCAACCTTTGTGGGTATGTCCAGGTACAGACCGGTGCCATGAGGGAAGGGGACGTCCGTATGGAGCCCTGTTCATGTGCTGGGATGCTGTGAGTCAATCCTTGTTTTACACTCCGGCCTCTGACTTCTCATGGGAGGTACTCATTGCCAGTGTGTTGGAAACTCAAGCTCCCAGTCTCCTTCATGTCTTGGGATTGCTCTTCTGAGCTGACCTTCAGAGCTCCACCTCCAGCGTTGGACCTCCCCCTTCTCTTCCGCGGTGTGTCCGCAACAGCCTTCTTCCTTCCCCATCACAGGAACTGGACGCCTTCCAGCCATACCCAATTGAGATCATTCCAGGCAAGGTCTTCCTGGGCAAATTCAGTCAAGCCTGCAATGCTAGGATTCACAAGGATCTGAAAATTAAAGCACATGTCAATGTTTCATTGGAGGCAACACCCTAGTAAGTAATGGTGATGTGTGTGTGTGTGTGTGTGTGTGTGTGTGTGTATGAATGATTGTGCACACACGTGCAGCTGCCTATGCATATGAAGGCCATATGTTGTTGGGCGCCTTCCTCTGTCATCCCTACTTTATTTATTTATTTATTTATTCATTCATTCATTCATTCATTCATTTATTTATTCATCAGTTTTTTTGAGACAAGGTTTCCCTGTGTAGCCCTGGCTGTCCTGGAACTCTCTCTGTAGCCCAGGCTGGCCTTGAACTCACAGGGATCCACCTGCCTCTGCCTCCCGAGTCCTGGGATCAAAGGCATGTGCCACCACCGCCCAGCACTCCACTTTATTTTTTTTGCGACAGAGTCCCTCACTGAGCCTGGTGTTCATGGACTAGATAATCTGGCTAGACAGCAAGCTTGAGAGATCTGTCTTGGTGCCCCCAGCACTAGGGTTCCAGATGAGTGCCCCTGTTAGCGCAGCTTCTTACGCGCATGCCTGGGGTTGTAACACAGGTACTATGCTTGTGCGGCAGGCATTTTGCTGAGTGAGCCATCTCCCCAGACCATGGTTTTTTATCTTAGGTGAAGAGTCACTCATTTTCACCATGGTTTTTTTTTGTCTTTTTGTTTTTTGTTTTTTTTTGGGTTTTTTGAGACAGGGTTTCTCTGTGTAGCTTTGCGCCTTTCCTGGAACTCACTTGGTAGCCCAGGCTGGTCTCGAACTCACAGAGATCCGCCTGGCTCTGCCTCCGGAGTGCTGGGATTAAAGGCGTGCGCCACCACCGCCCGGCTTCACCATGGTTTTTATTTTAGGTGAAGAGTCACTCATTTACACCATGGTTTTTATTTTAGGTGAAGAGTCACTCATTT